CCATCTGTTCCTGAACTAAATATTAATTCTAAGAAAAATATTGATCTTTGAATGTATTTGTATAAAGGCAAGCAGTAACTTCTACTGAAGCTGGATATAGAAAGACGCTCCTTAGGAAATATGCTATGGTTATTATTAAAGCACCACACAATAGTCCATCATCTATCCCGTACACAATCTTCCATAACTGGAGTTGTTGGCATTTTTATTGTAAATTCTGCTTTCAAAGGTTTGTAACTTGCCTGTAAGAAAAGTTACTATAGCCTGAAATTTGTTGCAAGTCGTCTGCCAAAGAGGAACTATTTTAAGATTAGGAAACTATGCATCCATTGGAGTTGGTGGTTGGCTTGGAGGTTTTATTTACACAAGTGGGGGTTTTTTTGAAAAAAAAAAGACAAACAGAAAACCCTACAACTCAGCATCTTTGAAAATCTTCTGGCTCAAAAAACAAACAAAAAAAATCACTCAAGGAATTAAATTCCTAAAAGTTAATATTTTTTCCTCCTTCAAAAACCTGCAAATTTATGGCAGATAAGCCTGAAACGTGCAATTATTTGTGCTACTTTGCAAAATAGTTGCCACACTGACACACTACCCAGTGTCTCACCAACACTGACTGTAAAGAACAACCCTACCCAAGCCCAATTAATTTGCAGCTCAGGACCATGCCCCTGCTAAAGGGCTGCGGATTTTAAACGCAGAATGGCCACGTGAAGACTGATTTAATCTGGCTGCTTGTACAATTCCCCAGAACCTCAGCTAGCAATGCCTGTACTGGGCCAAATAACTTACTGAACCGGATCCCTGAGAGGGCATCCAGCCCTCACCCGATGCGGTGGGGATGTCACATTCCTCCATAATGGGCTGCGATAATTGCCCTTCCTTTAAAAAAAAAAATAATCCTCCAATTTAACTAATCAGTTTGCACTGTTAATCATAACTCGCAGATATCAAAGACCCTGCTCCCGTGAAGAAAACAGTAACAAGGTGAACTTTTTACTTTATTTTTCCCATCAGACTGGAAAGCAGCATCCTGGTGCTTCTCCACCGCCTCTGCCCCGGGAAGATGACCATGGTGCGGGGTCCCACCAGCCCTGCAAGCTGGCAGGGTGGCACCAGCACGGAGAAGACCCACGGGGGCACCCCAGGATGGGGAGCACGCTGCTCCGGGTGGGAGAGGGGACATCCCACCACCGCAGTATCCCTCCTGCACCCTATGCAGCCCTACCCGCTCACCAGGAGGCTGGGAAGCTCCTCACAAGACCCCACATCCCGATCCAGGCAGGTCACGGCGGCTAACGAAGGGTTTCCGAGCAGACTGTGACAACTGCTGTGACCACAGGGGACGTTCACCTTTAAGCACTGCCAACATTTTTACAAAAATGAAGGTATCTTGCTCATATTAAGCAACATTTTTACAAAAGGGAAGGTATTGCTCTGGGTACTGCACTGGATGTGTTTATATTTGGATCTTGTTTAGTGCCAGCAAACGGCTGTGACCAACTTAAAACCCAAATGACAACTCGTTACTCACCTCAGGGCCCACCATAAGCACCCACCACCCATTAAAGTAGGTCTCTTTCCTTCACTGCTGCTCCTAGGAACCTCCCAAACGCACACTTAAGGCCATTTTGAACTACCATGTTTTCACAGGACACAGAATTAGGCTGTCCCTTGTGGAAAGCTTAAATTAGTCCTCTGAAATTCGACCTAAATTAAAAGAACTGAAACACATTGTTACTGCACTGGGCGAGGGCTCCGAGTGGGTGCTCCAAGGACAGCATCTCGGCATTGCATGTGGGGTAGAGACTAAATTAGCTACCCAGCAGAACGATAACACACAGGCTGGGTAAGGGAAGGTCACAGGAGAGCTTGCTATTTATCAAATATATGTCTAAACTAATTATTCAGTTCACAAAGTAACCCTTCAACCTATGCGTGCGGTCAGAGCCCTTTTGAAATGCTGGCTATCATCAAAGGCCTTCGTAGCCTGGGTACACAGAGAGAGAATGGCTCCTTTGTACACTCTGGGGTAGACTTCTTTCTAAATATTTAAAAGCAGAAAGTCTTTATACTCCCTAGGATAAAAAAACATAGATGTAAACACTCGATGCAAGGCGTAATTCCACAGCTGACATTCCCCAAACTAACTCCCGCGAGCCCCATTTCTGCTCACGCTGCTGAACAGCCCCAGCCTTCACCACCACTGCTCGACACAGCAAGCACTGCAGCCACCAACCACCACAGTCAGGAGCCAGCCCTTAGCAAGCAATATTCAATAATCAATCCTGACGTTGTCATTTACAATGGCTCGAGACACCATCGTCAGCGTACACACTTTCATACGTACCAGAGTAGCACCTCATGGTCACAGGTGAGATGCAGAGCTCGGCGAGTCCAGTGCTTTATAAAAGCACCCGAGAGCAGCGTGCTGCCAAAGAGATCTGATTGACAGCGGATAACTAGAAAAGGAAAGTGCCCTGCTGCCCGACAGCATCTTGCACACATCCTGCACATCTCCATGCAGTTGATTACCCTATTAGCTCAGCACTGCTTGCACTGAGGTACCTACTTAGCCAGATACTCTGAAGAAAACAGTCGCAAATGTCCCTAAAGTTACACATAGCTATGAGAGAAAAGTATATTCTCTGTTACGATCAAAGCGATGAAAAGCCACAGCCTCAATCCCTGCTAACACTGCATACAGCTCTTTGAATATTCCGAGTCATCAACACAATAAGTAGTAACAATAAAAGCACCTATCATCAAAAAAAGACAAAATTTCGGGGGTGTCCATGGAGGAAGACCGAGGACTGGACCAACACGTGTCAGCAGAGGTCACGGCCCCGTCGACCTTCTCAGCTGGTACGAAATGTCACCGCTCTAATGACTGCACAGGCAGCAGCCCTCCCGAAAACTTACATTATTAGAGCATCTGACCCCCCAGATTAGCTGTGGCCAAAATGCTTAGCATTTACCAAATTAAACAAGAAGTCTGCTTTGTCTTTGGAGAGCTTTTATTTTTTTGAAGGGTTTTGTTTTGTTTTCAGCTTGGAGAGCTTGTGGGTGGCAGTGATAGAACCCAGAGAAGGTGATTGTGTAAAAACTTATTTTTTTTTTTAAAGGGGTTTAACAAAGTACATAAAGGAGGTTTTATTTCCCAAATCTCAGATATAAATCCCACACAATTCCCTGTATTCTGCAGCATAAAAGCTCTTATTATACCATTAACTTAAAAGCCTTTTTTTTCCCCCCTCATCTCTGGTAATGATTCGGCTTTTCACGTCTAAAATTGTTTCACGTCAGTAACATTCCTGTCCAGAGAAGAAGTTTTAAATCCTTTTTAACAATTTACTCTTTGATAAAACCCAGATTCCACCCCCTGGATATTCACCATGGAAAAAACATATTTTTAAACTGTGCTTTTTTAAATAGTAAAAGCTATTCTTTCCCCGAAAGCTGAAAAATTATCAGGCATCATTCAAGAAACATTACTCTTCTCCCTGTAAAGGACTCCACCAATCCAGGAATCACATTCTTTCTGATTTAACCCTAAAAAGAGGGGACCTCACTACAAACAGCTAATCTGAAACCAGAATTATTCACGATTTTGTCATTCCTCTGAAAAGCCAAAAAGGCACCAGATGTGCAAATCGTACAGTAAGTGGTGATGAGAGTTGGGCTTTTTTTTTTTTCTTCTTTCTCAAGTTACCTTCAAAAGAAAGAAAAACAAAAATCTTTGCTATCAACAATCGCTGTGGCTGACAGATGACAATATTGCTATACGTCGTTAATTTTTTTCAGGAATGCTTGCTAGGGAGGAGGGCTCATCATCTCTAAATAGTTCTTTCCTTGCCATCAATAAAAATGTACTTGGAACGGATTCTAGAAATGTGTTAGCTGGTGACGTCTATTTTTAGAGGCAGTGGATAGAAACAAATAAGTTCTGCATGAAAACGTATTAAATAAAAACAAAGCTGTAACCGTGGACATGAGTGGTAGAACGTGTAAAGGCCAAATTCTCTCCAGCAAGCTTGCTGGGTCAGAAGTGCTCTATGGACTGTTACGTTGGTTTGACAGCTGAGTTACTAGAAAAGTAATCGCTCCTCCGACGGACGGGCAGAACCTTAGGAAGGAAGCCTCGCCTTCCCACTACGGTGCTCAGAGAGCAGGAAAGCTCCTACACAACACAGCAAAATCATTCTTAAAAACAAACAGCTCACGCGATAAGGAAGCCGCCCCTCCTTAGCCCTTTAGAGAAGAAAACCACTTTGCAAAGCTCGAGGAACGGACATATCTGGAAGAACACAGCAACAGGTGCGGGCTCAAAACAGCAGATTTCATCAAAACACCTTTCCCAACGTAGAGGTCTCAATTAGCCTTTGCTTTCAGAGTAATAAACTGCAGTCCTGGCTATTCACATCTCAACATATACACTTCCAGAACTTGCAATCCCGACACTGCACCAATTGTTCTTGGATATTAACAGCAATAGGGAAACTTATTCTAAGTACAAACACCAATAAAGCTGTAACGCCGTTTTTGCAGAGCGCCTGGCAAAATTAAAAGTTCAGGCCGTTGAAAACTGTTGGGACTTCTGTTTCTCTGAACTTCCCAGCTTCAGAGCATCACAAAGACAGGCAGCTACACAGCCATTTCGTTCCCCGAGACAGAAACATGCAACACATACACAAGTGCAGTGGTTTCCTTGAAGACCCGCTCCTGAAAACTTGCAGCCGTACACTTTGATTACACAACGTGACGACGGTCCCGAGTGAAATCACAGACATGACTTGCTTGCATAAGATTAAATGAAGGCATGCTTGCGTGAACACAGCCCATGTGCGAGCAGGAAAAGTCAAAACCCGTAACTCTTGAGGGCTAATCTGTTACTTGCCTTCGATTTACCAAAGAAGTCAACCTCTTTACGTGCCATTTCAGCTGTTCAGGCATTCAAAATTAACTTATTTTGTGGAATTAAGGATTCTAGGGTGACTTACCTTCAGGTTCCAGCGTGGCGTCTTCAACAACTAAATTAAACGAAGGTCGAGCCAGGGAAAGTCCAGCCATGGTGACCACCACCAGGCAGATAAGGCAACCCGAATCCCAGCTGACCATCTTTTTAGAGTAAATTCCTGGTCCATTTCCGTATCTCCATGTGGACTTTAATCCCATCTGAACACCTCTAGAGAAGCATGGAGAGAAAGCTGTGCCTTCGGCCAGGGTAATACCTCCTCCCTCGGAACGACGGCTGCTGCTGTGGGGACGAGAGAGATTTCACACTGTCAGCAAAACCATCTTAAACAGCAAACCAAAAAACTTCAGAAAGCCCCGAACAGAGCTGAGGTGAGAGGGAGGGGAGGAGGAGGATGGGAAAAATAGTTTTCCAGATTCAAAATACGTGAAAAGTGAGTGACTTTTCATTTTCTGTTAGCAGTTTCCATCATCACCTGAGGCGTAACCAAGCCCTCCTTGTTTTCACAAAATCACTTCTCAGCACATATTTAGAGAGCTCTTTTACTGACAGAAAAATAAAGTTTTTAAAAAAAGGAGAGGCACACACATGTGCAGGCACATAACCTGTAATGCTACAAAATTACCACAATTATACAAATTATATTCTTATTATTGTTTGAAGGTTTAGGTAAGTTTGCCTTGTTTTTCATTCCTTCACCTAGGCAGTTCTGCAGCCAGCTGAATTTGCAAGAATTCAGTAATTTTCCACAAGAAAAAACAGTTGAAAAATACTCTTTAGACTTGAATAATCCGTAAAACTGCCTTTCACCTGGGAACTTCCAGCTCCCCTATGGATGTACCTTTATCTGTCTCAGTTCAGTGCCCCTTTTAAAGCCCGAGAGTCCTGCACCGGTGAAAGGCTCCAGTCTTTGCAGGGATACTGGTTAGTTACGTTCCATTACAGGCAATTAAAATCTGTATCAAGCGTGGTACAGACTGCAGTTTCATGGGAGACCTCCCCAGCATCGTTTTCCATTCATATATGCTAAACTCCGTGAACGCATTTCTCTTCTCTCTCAAAGATGCCCATTGATAAGCGTTTTTCAGATGGGGAAAAAAAAGTCTATTTTATCCACAGCAGAAGTAACTTCAATGGATGGAGTTAACTGGTAATCCAGGCATGGGCTGAGGGAGGAGAGAAGCGGAGCCGTACCAAAGCAACCTGCACTCCCGTCAGGGGACCCTGGTGCCACCACATTAAAATGCCAGGTGAGGGTCAGAAGAGCATCCTCACAGGGCAATTTAACAGCTCAACCAGAAAATGAGGCCTGATTTTCCGCTTCAAAAATAAAAGATGGTAGACCTCAGTAGATGGATAAAGCAAGTAACTGCAGCGATTGTTCTAATCCAGCCAGTGATTCATTTTAGATGTGATGAAACCCAACTGAAGCTTAGAAAGCACTCGTCTTGAAAGGGAAAAATAACAAAAAACTCTTTTTCCCTCCTGCTCTCACCTTTTACAAACAAACAAACAAAAAAAAGGGTGGGGAAATTGTAGCCATAAAAGTAAACTTCACAAAACTCCCTGTCATTTGGACGTGGTACCTCAGCGTACGGCACACAGAAACATGGACAAATAGCCTCCCTTTGTACAGCCAACCATTAAGAAGTTTACTCACATTTTACTAGCCTTTTGCTACCTGCACATACAAACCGCTTTTCACAGTGCTAAGGACAGAAATGCTGTTGAGGCATCTGTTATCTTGGCTACTATATACGATAACTTCTGGAGTCAGCAGAAACAGATTTGAGATGACATAAAGCAGGCACTTGGGGAAAGCAATCAACACACGGTATTTCAGGCGAATCCCTGGTACTTCAGGGCAAGCTTTTTTCACCTCAGCTGATAGCAGCTCAAAGCTCTGTTGCTCCTTTCGAGATCTAAGCGTAGCGTGAGCATCCCAGACCACAAGCAAGCAACCACCATTAAATCGCCAGTGACACCACCACCACCAGACCACTGCGTAAACACTTACAAAGAGCTCGCCGAGCACTTCTCTAAACCAGCGCCGAGCGGGCGGAGAACTGCAGAGAGCTCCGTCTCCAGGACCGGTTTATGTTTGGTGAAGGACCGGAGCAAGCCCCTGCTGGCCGCTACCACACAGGTAACCGCCCGACTCGCTGCCTGACAGCCACGGCTCCGGAGCTCAGTTTATCCAGCTGGAAAGCGGGTAGAAACCCTAATTAACAGGCTGGATGGAATGCAAATTTAATTTCCATAAATCATCCTGTAAACTCCGATTAAAGGCTATGTGTAGAAATGCAAAATTGAATCATAATTTTGCAAAAAGAAAACATACCAGAACGCTAGTATATATTCCAGACTCTAACAGCATTAATTCCACTTACATTTCAGCCGTTGCAGATATTTCGGCTACGTTAAAGGCCACTGCAAGCATGTTTGTGGCTCCTACCCTCATCCCTAAATCCTGAAGCGCAGCACAAGGCTACCTGACCACGCGTCCTCTCACCTGAAGAGTTTTGCCAGCTTCTGCACCTGAACATCTGCCAGCGGAGAGAAGGGACTCTTCACCCCCAGGGCAGCAGCAAACTCAAAACCGCAGCTTGCCAAGGCGTAGCAAAGCCAAAATCAGAGCTGTGGAGCCGTCCATGGAGCCAAGCCACTTCTCACCACCACGACAGCGACCGGGGTTCGAGGACTGCCCTCTCCCCAAAAGAAGCGGAGGCCAGCGGACATGAAACGAAACCAAATTCTTTTCATAGTTCAATCGCCACAGTTGCTGGGGGACGAGCCTCTGGAAAGACCTCCTGCGCTGGATAATTATGTACCTCTATCTCAATGTTTGGAACACAGCCCCAGCATGCTTTTTGGCCTCCACAATCCTGGCTTCCTGACTACAATACCATAATCCCTCCTGGAGTCTCAGCCTCAGTGAAAGCCACACGTAGTGTTTATTTTTCCCCTTGAAAGGGAACTCTGTCTCCCTCCTCAGCCTACACTTCGGGGAGGAGCTGTCAGCTTCCAGTGATTGATGGCTCTCCTTGCCACTCGCTCATCAAGTCCATTTTCACCTCGTCACATACCTGCCCAAATTTCTTTGCCAAACTGACAAGCATGGGAAAGCAGACTGGTTTGGGAGCCCAACCAAATTCCTCCAAGCTGTACTCCAGCTGAAACGCACACATACAAACAAGTAGTACTTGTTCAGCGGCGGCATTAGTTAAATTCAACGCTTGGTGTTCTTTTTAATCTGCTTCCACTGTTGTTTATAAGATGTTTATCACTCCCCGGGGAGAGCACGTTAACCGAATCAATACCTCGCTCATTGCGGGGCTTCTCAGCATCTCCCTCGCTCAGGCGAGGAACAGCAAAGCCTGAACGGAGCAGGGATCTTCCCTCCCCAAAGCAATCTCCAGCGCCCTCAAAGCCCAGTAGCTTCGCCAGAAAAACCCACGTACCTGAAGCTTCAAAGCCAACAGCTTTGTATACACGTACACACGCACACAAATACATACGCGTCCATAAATACATATACACAAGCGCATAGCTCTAACAAGACTTTTCGTCCCAGTTCAATCTCCGAGCAAACCCGAGCATCACCGCTATTAAACATTAATTCTGGACGACTAATGGGAACCGGCTGGCAGCTTCAGGACTTTTTTTTCATTGTTTGAACTTCTTTCATTTGCTTTCCAGGACTATCCTGTTTTTCTCAAGTCTTTTGCCACTAAGAGATGGGGACACACACACACACACACACGAATCTGCATTTTAACTGAAATTCCAGAGGGAGAGAGAGAAGTCCAGAGGCTGCTGATTGCTGTCTATTCAGCCCAAACAGGCTTTTCAGATGAAAATGAGTAAAGGCTAGTGGAAGATTTACAGGGATTTGGTACAAAGGAGACAATGAAGTTTTAAATGTTGATAGCGTTTCACACCGACGGCATAATGGGTCCCTGCCCGAGCGGGCCGCTTTGCATTTAAATATATATTCCCTCGAGG